CCCGGCCCGTTTCCACCACCCCTAGAGTCTCCATCCCCCCGGCCCGTCTCCAGCACCCCTAGAAGCACTCCCAGAGATGCACCACGGGAGGCCTGGAGTCACGCCCTGGCCCAGGTGCCCCATAATGCACAGGCCCCAGCTTTCCTCCAGGACTCAGAGCAGACCCAGGCCTGCAAGGAGGTCAAGAGGGTTGCCCGGTTCTCTCTGGAAGCTCTTTGCAACACTGTGGGCTCCGCTCTCCCCCTGTGTGAGGCCCCCTGTCCCGGGACTCACCAGCTTCTGGAAGAGGTGGCCCATGGTGACCTGGCTGTCCCACTGCTGCACCTTGGGGCACAGGCTGTCGTAGAACTCCTTGTGGATTTCGTAGATGTCCTGGATCTTGTAGAAGATGGTCTCGATCTGCTGGATGGTGAGCACGGGCTGGGAGGTGGTGGCTGTGGCCTTCAGGGGTTTCATGGGCTGGGAGGACGTGAGGAGGAGAGAGCAGAGGTGGGGGGTGAGCACACCAGCGTGCCGACAGGCCCGGAGGTGACCGTCGGCCCTTCCCGCTGCCCAGGTCCTGCCTGGACAAAGGCGGCAAAGACAGAGCCCTGAAGCGCGCTTTGTATCCAGGAGCCGCTGCCACAGGCCCCAGCGGGCCACACGCTCGGCGCGGGCACCTGTCCCAGCTGTCCTGCCAGGCCCGAGGGGCGGTGCCACGGTCCACTCCCCGGCCACGTGCCCGAGCTCAGCCGCAGCCTGTGCTGCTGTAACAGGACCTCCTGCCCCAGGTCAGGGGAAAGGAGGGTTGACTGGGACTCAGGCCTTCCGCTGTTTCCTTACAAGAAACAACGTGTTTCCAGGACTCAGAGGGGCAGGACCGGAAGGTACTCCAGACCAGCCTGGCCTCACTGATATTCCGAGTTCCCGCCACTTGGTACACGGAGAGGGATGGGGGTTCACGGGTCCCCCACCACCTCCCACCCCGTGGCAGACATTGCTGAGAGACCACGATGGCCCCTCCCACAGCACGTGGTGTGGCCTCCAGTCTCAGACGTGTTTCCAACGCCTGCCTGTCTACACCAAGGTGCTCCAGAGCCTGCAATGTAGACGGTGAGGTGGCAGACACAAGGACCAACCCCCAGCACTGGCTGCCGCTGACGACATTGCCTCCAAGCCCAGCAGCAGGACTGGGGGTGCTGGGACCTGGCAGGCATCGTCTTCAGTATGCTTCCCCACATTTTATTCTATTTTGTTTGTTTATTTGCTGCCATCCCACCTTGCCCGTGGTTCTCATGGGCGATGTGAGAGATGGCAGTGCCAGACCATAAGCACCCACCCTGTGGTTCCAAGGTTGTGCTGGAGCAGCCTGGAGGGCTGCATGGAGGAGGCGGATATACCAGGGCCTTGAAGAGCTGGACAGGTTGGAGGAGTGGGGGGCAGTGAAGCGTGGAGACAGAAGGGCAGGGAGGCAGAAGGAATCGCAGCAGGAGTAAGGAAAGAGTGTCCTCCCAAGCACAGGTGGCTGGGCTGAAAGCGTTGGGGACTCCCCACCCTCCACAAAGGACACGGAACCAGCTTCAGGATTGACATTGGCGTAAGAGTTTATCCTTTCCAGTGCGAGGCAGGACCCCATGGAGGAGCCTGCGTCGCCACCGAGTCCCCAAATTCTGGTCCCTGCCTTGGCGCAGTCCCCACTGAGGAAGGAATCAGGGGGGCAGGATCCGTCCCGGGAAGGCCATGGCCAGGACTTCTCAGAAGCTGCTGAGGAAGCACCCGTCTGCCGCCCACGCAGGGACAAGACGCATGGTTCTGCTTCCTGCTCAGCGTCCCCTACCCTCTCTGTGAAAGGAGAAACGGATGCTCACCGCGCCAGTCACAGGACAGGCCTGCGCGTGGGGCATCAGACGGCTCCCATGACACGACGGGGGCCTTGACTCTCACTGCTGATTTCCCCTGGTGGGAAGGGACGGGGCTGGGCGTGTGGCCAGGACCCTTATGGCAGGTGTTTTTCTCTGGTGAAGTCCCACACATAGGCCTGAGGGCAGCAGGGTGGGCTGAGGGCAGGGTCACCCACGGGGAGGGCAGCAGGGTGGGCTGAGGGCAGGGTGACCCATGCAGGGTGGGCTGGGGGCAGGGTGACCCATTCAGGGTAGGCTGAGAGCAGGGTGACCCACGGGGAGGGCAGCAGAGTGGGCTGGGGGCAGGGTGACCCACGCAGGGTGGACTGGGGGCAGGGTGACCCACGCAGGGTGGGCTGGGGACAGGGTGACCCACGCAGGGTGGGCTGGAGACAGGGTGACCCATGCAGAGCTCTGGTGAGGCACAGCGATCCTGCCTTGGTGCTAGCGCCCGTCCGTCGCTGGGGTGGGGATGGGCCCTGGCTCTCCAGTTCACCGTGGAGAGTTCTCAGCGAGGTCCCTGAGTGACCTCCACCCTGGTCCCAGCCCAAGTGCATCTCGGGAAGAGGGGCCTGGGCCGCTTCTCCCTTGCCCCGGTCTCCCTGGGGACTTCACACAGCCATTGGTCCGATCCATCCCCCAGCAAATGGCCTTTCGAAACAGAGGAACGAGATCTGCCCACTTCCTCTACCTCCTGCCCGGAAGGCCTGGCCACATCACCTCAGTCACCGCGGACTGGGGCCCTGGGAGGCAGGCATCATGCTCCTGATTTACAGATGGAGAGCTTGGGGCGCAGCGTGGCTGTGAACCCCAACGCGAGGCCAGAAGAGAGTCCGCCCCAGGAGGGCCGGCCGTGGCCAGTGGCGGTGGGCCTGTGGGCAGTGGCCTCACACCCTGTGGCCCCAGCACAGGCCAGATACAGCTCCCAAGCTCCTCTCCAGCCTCCAGGATGCAGAATTACAATGCTTGGTTTCGTCTTTTTTCCTTCACCCCCTGCCTCGGCCCAGGCCCCAGGCTTTCCCTGTCATCAGAGTCCACCAGGAAGCAGCGGGGGCCCAGAGTGACCCCCCAGCAACCCAGAGGCCAGGACGGAGGCCCACCTGCCCTGTGTGTGCGCATGGCTTTGGGTCTACACACCCAGCCCTTTGCTATCAGGAAGGGTTCAGCTGAACGCAGACGGCCGGCCGGGGCAGAGCTGTGGGAATGGGGTGAGGGGTGGGAGCCAGCTGGCCCCTCTGTGAGGCCACCTGAGGAGCGGAAGGTTCAGCTCCCCACTAGCTGAGCCGGGGACAGTGCGGCTCCCAGCTCAGGGAGGAGAGGAGGGAGAGCTTGACTGAGGCTGTGGCTGTGGAGGGTCCAGCCCTCTTCCCAAGAGCTCCAGCCACAGACCTGGCCTCCCAGTGAGTCCCTCCCTCTCTCCCTCTGGCCTCTGCTCAAGAAAGAGCCAAGCAGGGGCCCAGGAGGAGAGAGCTGGGGGAAGGGACGGACTGCCCTGGGCGCAACAGGAGGCGAGGGGGGCCTGCCCCACAGATTCTGCCTGTGGGGCACCAGCTGTTGGAAAGGCAGGGCAGGCAGGGGCTCCCTGTCTTGGCCCAGAGGAAGAGGCTCCCGGAGGGCAGGGGGATCCAAGGGCTTCATGTCTGAAGGGACAGCCCCCACTCCCTCCTTCAGGGAAAGGGTGTGCTGTGACAGAAACCAGCAAGCCCTGACCTGTCTTCTCTCCAGCCCTGAGAAATTAACAGTGCCAGTGAACACTCAGGCTCTGCTCCAAGAAAGAGCTTTATGTGCCGGGCGAGGTGGCTCTCGCCTGTAACCCCAGCACTTTGGGAAGCCGAGGCAGGCGGATTACTTGAGGTCAGGAGTTCGAGACCAGCCTGGCCAACATGGTGAAAGCCCGTCTCTACTAACAACTACAAAAATTAGCCAGGCATGGTGGTGGGTGCCTGTAACCCCAGCTACTTGGGAGGCTGAGGCAGGAGAATGGCTTGAACCCGGGAGGTGGAGGTTGCAGTGAACTGAGATTGAGCCACCGCACTCTAGCCTGGGCAACAAGAGTAAGACTCCATCTCAGAAAAAAGATAAAAAGAAAGGAAAAAAGAGAGCTCTGTGTACAAATTCCTTCAATCCTCACAACAACCCACCAAAAGCACACTATCGGTACACCCAGTTTGCAGATGGAAAAGCTGAGGCACAAAGGCTCATTCACTTGCTGAAAGCCAGGGGCCAGCACAGCCAGGCAGCCTGTTCCTTTGTCTGAGCTCCTTTCAGACACACATCCTGTTGGCAATGACGGCGCCGTGCTTTCTTGATGCCGCAATTCACAGTTTGTGAGGCGTGTTTCACGTTTGTCTGACGGTTGCCTCTGCCCGTCTTCCTTTCTCCTGCTAATATCTGCGTGTTGTAAGCACTCAACACTATAGGAGGTTCCGAAAGGGCCACCCGACCTTCTCAGCCCCACGGAAAGACAGACAAGGCCGGACGCTCATCTTCAGATCCAGAAACGGAGGCTCACGGAATTCACGCAGTGCTCGCCCAAAGCCAGCGGTTTCCACACTCACAACAGGCATAGGAAACCGTGGGCAGTTAATGCATACACACGCACACACACGCACACGCACACACAGCGAACCCGAAGTCTCCTGAACCAGCACTTATCCTACTGTGGATGATGCGTGTGGCTGTTTCCTTTCCTTGGTTTAAAAATGCTGGTTCAACCCGCTCCATGCTTCTGCGATGCTCTGAGGGGCTGAGCACGGTTTGGGAGACAGGGCAGCACGCCCGTGTGCACGGCAGGGGCGGGTCTGACTGCAGCTCTGGCCCCAGACCAGAGCCCTCAGCGACCTGCCACACTGCCCCACACTTGGAAAATCTCTCCGAGCATACGGGTAAAATCCCGGAGAGACAGCACGCTCAGCCATGCGTGTGCCAAAGCATCTGCACATTTTTTTTTTTTTTTTGAGACGGGGTTTTTGCTTTTATCATCCAGGCTGGAGAGCAATGGAGTGATCTCGGCTCACATCAACCTCCACCTCGGGTTCAAGTGATTCTCCTGCCTCCGCCTCCTGAGTAGCTGGAATTACAGGTGCCTGCCACCAAGGCGGGCTAATTGTTTGTATTTTTAGTAGAGACAGGGTTTCACCATGTTGGCCAAGCTGGCCTCAAACTCCTGACCTCAGGTGATCCACCCACCTCGGCCTCCCAAAGTGCTGGGCTGACAGGTGTGAGCCACCGTGCCCGGCGTTTTTTTTTTTTTGAGAGAGCGTTTCTCACCCATTGCCCAGTCTGGAGTACAGTGGTGTGCGCTCAGCTCACTGCAACCTCCGTCCCCAGGTTCAAACGATTCTCATGCCTCAGCCTCCCGAGTATCTGGGATTACAGGTATGCACCACCACGCCTGACTTTTTTTTTTTTTTTGTACTTTTAGTAGAGATGGGGTTTCACTGTGTTGGCCAGGCTGGTCTCGAACTCCTGACCTCAAGTGATCTGCCTGCCTCGGCCTCCCAAAGTGGCAGGTGGGAGCCCCCGCGCCTGGCCTGCCCCTGCACATTTAGACCATGATTCCCAGGGCAATATAAACGCCAAGTCCTCTGTGACACCAGCAGCATCTCAGGGTTGACGTGTGACACCTCACGTCACGGCAAGTACTTAAATGTGTATCTTATCATTCCTGTAAGAATGAGCTTCCACGGATCCACACTTCCTATTCTCCCTCTTCTGATAATGACCTTATGTCTCAGGCTACAAAACAGCCAGAGGCAAGAACCTGCCATCCACACTGACTCTGCATAGCATCTAGGCGCATCTAACGAGCACTTTCTCCAAAGGCAAAACCACCTCACAGCTGTGTCGTACTTTTATTTATTTTCTGAAAACATTTTCATATTCCCCTCCAATCAGACTCTCACCATGATGCCTCCATCTGGGAGAGGAAACTGAGGCATGCTTACTGAGGGCAGAGGTTGGCCTAATGCCTCAGAGCTGTGATGCCTCTCAAAAGACACAGATAGGCCAGGTGCGGTGGCTCAAGCCTGTCATCCCTGCACTTTGTGAGGCCAAGGTGGCTGGATCACCTGAGGTCAGGAGTTCAAGAGTAGCCTGGCCAACATGGTGAAATCTCGTCTCTACTAAAAGTTAGCTGGGCTTGGTGGCATGTACCTGCAATTCCAGCTACTTGGGAGGCTGAGGCAGGAGAATCACCTGAACCCAGGAGGCAGAGGTTGCAGTGAGCCAAGATCATGCCACTTGCCCTCCAGCCTGGGAGACAAGAGCAAAACTTCATTTCAAAAAAACAAGAACGGCTGGGCGCGGTGGCTCACGCCTGTAATCCCAGCACTTTGGGAGGCTGAGGCAGGTGGATCACGAGGTCAAGAGATCGAGACCAACCTGGCCAACATGGTGAAACCATGTCCCTACTAAAAAATACAAAAATTAGCTGAGCGTGGTAACGTGCACCTGTAGTCGCAGCTACTAGGGAGGCTGAGGCAGGAGAATTGCTTGAACCCAGGAGGCAGAGATTGCAGTGAGCCAAGATTGTGCCACTGTGCTCCAGCCTGAAGCCTAGGAACAGAGCAAGACTCTGTCTCAAAACAAAAACAAAAACAAAAACAAACAAAAAAAAGAAGAACATAGCCTCCCACCTCCTATTTCCTGACATGCGCCTTGGATGCTGCTCACTGTTCACTCACCCAGGGAGGCAGACGGACTTGGAGCAAAGATAACAGGGAGTTCTTAGCTAGACTGATTGGCAGTGACTGCTCAGGGCACGGTGTGGAGGGGGTGCTCGGCCCCCGCCCGGACAGAGCCCCGTGATGGGTTATGTAGGCCCTTTGCCACGGCCGTGGGTGACAGGTGTGTTTCCAGCCCTAACCTGGCTGTGCTGCTTTTCCTGCCTCGAAAGAGCTGGGTAATGGAGAGATGGAGCACAGAGGCACAGGCCCTTTCTGGCAGCGACTGGGCTCCCTGACGCCCAGCTGGGAGCAGAGCAGCTGCAGACTGTCCACAGGAGGTCGGGGACAGGCCCCCTTTCCTCTCCAGCTCCAAAAGCAGCTTCAGAGCATGAGGTTGCCTGGCACGGGGACCCGGGGCCCCAGAGCACACACTGTACTCACCAGCAACAGGGCTTCCAGCTGGTTAATGTAGATCTCTTCGCTGGCCAGGAACCCCGAGAGAACCAGCTTCCTCATCTCCAGGCCCTTCCCTGCTTCCACCTGTGCAAAAGCAAAGCACAGCCAGCAGCTCATGAGCAAGGAGGCCGAAATCCTCAGCGCACTGCCTGCTTCCCTGCCCTTTCCCTCTTTTTTTTTTTTTGAGACAGAGTCTCACTCTGTCACCCAGGCTGGAGTGCAGTGGCGCAATCTCGGCTCACTGCACCTCCCTCCACCTCCCAGGTCCTAGTGATTCTCCTGCCTCAGCCTCCTGAGTAGCTGGGATTACAGGTACCTGCCACCACACCTGGCTAATTTTTGTATTTTTAGTAGAGACGGGGTTTCACCATGTTGGTCAGGATGGTCTCGAACTCCCAACCTCAGGCAACCTGCCCGCCTTGGCCTCCCAAAGTGCTGGGATGACAGACGTGAGCACCGCCCCCCGCCCCCACTTTTCCTTTTCCCCTTCTTTCAGTAACACTTTTATAGGGGATAAAAGTCAGAGAGTATGATTAAAAAAATATATATAAAACATGCAGAAAACATAAGTCAGATACTATGATAAAACAAATATAAAATATGCAGATGCGGCCCACAGGAGGGGGGCAGGCCCCCTTTCCTCTCCAGCTCCAAAAGCAGCTTCAGACCTCATGCTCCTGCTGCTAACACCTGGTTTCGCTTCCCTCAACTGATTCCCACATTTCCCCATCGATGTTTGTCCATGGATTCATCCACCTGCCAAGCAAGCCAGCCTTCCGGAGGTGAGCAGACGCGGGACCCGCCCACATCTGCCGGGCTGTCTGTCCCGGGATAAGAAGGTTCAGGAGGGAAATCAGAGTCCCGACTGGGGCAGGGCACGGTCAGAAGGGAGGAAACAGCAGGGCCAGAATCTAAGTCTGGGGGGACAGAGAGGGGCCCCAGAGGAAGTGACGAGGAAGCCAGCAGAGCACGGGTGGAGAGAACGGAATGGAGGCACAGGGGCCCCAGCCGTCAGGCTTCTGGCTACACGTCTCAGTCCCCCAATGGAAGGCGGCCTGGACCCCTCAACCCCATCCCCGCCCGGCACACTGGCCCCCAGCACTTCCTGACCACTGCATTGCGCAAGGCACAGCCCCGAGTGGCCTTCTCCTCCCTCCAGAACTGCTGCTCCTTAGAGAGGAGGACACACTATTCAGACTTGGAGTCCACCACCAGGCACAGTGCCGGCTCAGAGACAGTACCCCAACATTTCAGAGAAAGTACCCCAATATTTCAGAAATTACCCCCAACATTTCAGAAAGTACCCCCAACATCTCAGAAAGTATCCCCAACATTTCAGAGAAAGTACCCCTAATATTTCAGAAATTACCCCAACATTTCAGAAATTACCCCAACATTTCAAAGTACCCCAACATTTCAGAGAAAGTACCCCAATATTTCAGAAATTACT